ACACTGTTTTTCTACTATTAATATGAATTAAAGGTTATTTAGCAAAGACAACCACCAAAACTGTACTAAATAATCTCAGACAGGCATCAGAGACTTGCGCCGATTCGGCTTAAGCCGACTAAGCCTAGCCGCCGAACAAAATGTCAAAGCCGCCGCCGCCGATACTTGATACTTGAAAATTTGGCCATAATATTTTGTACAATTTACAGAACACTTTCGCTAAATTTATGGAATTTTACAATATAGAATTAATTTGTTTTCATTTAATCAAGTTTTCTTCTATCTAATAATAAGCCGCTCATTGAAATTTGGCCGGTGTGAAACTTTGCTCAACGTTCGCTGTATATGCTTCGCCTCTGATATTTTCGTGTTTTACACGCCTAATTCGAGTCGCTGCTTTTACTTCAAACACTTTATGTTTGTAGCAAGCACGAGATACGAAAAATACATTGCTGTTTGACAAACCAGAGTTTCCTACGTCGTCAAACCAATGTATTTTAAATGGGACATCAAACAAAATCTGTTTGAAGGAAAAATTCTGCAATTTTTTGCGCGCAGTTGCATGTTTTCGCGCCAATTTTTGCAAATTCTTTATTTGATCTTCTGCCATTTTACACACATTTTGAGTTTGTAGTTAATGTAGAACCAATATAACCCTCTTACAGAAAATCAGTTTATAGCTAATACAACATTCCAAAAGTTATCATTATGATAGAATTATGGAAGAATTAAAAAAATACTTTAAATTATAGAGAACTTTGTCCATAATTGACCCAATTCCACATTCAAGTCCCTAATCCGAAAATCACGGTGACGTTCTTATTATTCTAATGATCAAAGTCCATATATATGTGTATATGACCACTTCCGAAATTTGCTTTTTTACGACATATGATTTGCCGAATATAACTCTTACTTCTTACTTATTTTAATCATAAAGAAATTACCGCTAAAATAGGAATAGTCTGCCTTTAGAGTTGCGAGTTTTCATATACTCTAATAATGAAACTAATAGAACTAAATTCTTCAAATTTTGCACGAAGAACTTTAATATTCATCTGAACATTTTGGAGAAAAAGGGCGGACTTTCATCTGGGGGGCTTGGAGCTTCCATATGAATTAAATTGAAAAATTCGTATATCTGAGAAACTATTAGAGCTAGAATCTTCAAATTTTACTGAAGAACATTTAGAGAATAACGGGCGGACTTTCATCTGGGGGGCTTGGCACTTCCCATATGAACTAAATACAAAATTTTGTATATCTGGGAAACTATTAGATTATTCAAATTTTTCATAGATTTAATTAAAATCTTAATTAACGTTCGGAATAATTGGCGAAATTGCAATAATTTGCGTGGAATCTCCCATATGTAACAAATTGTATATCTGGAAAACCATTGTAGTTAGAATCATCAAAATCGTTAAGTGGGTTTCTTATTTATATTGCTTTTAGGGTAGCACAGCACACTGGGTATAGAGCTAGTAAATAAACAAATAAAATGTCTTTGTTTTTACGTTATTGATAATTTTCTTAATGCAAAATTTTTTAGAAACTGATGTTTTATATGGAGGATAGGGTTAAATATCGGCAGATCTTCGTAAACAACAATTTTCGTCCTTTTTGACCTGTTTCACACTGGAAAACTTTTGTTGAGAAACTTTTGATTTTGTGTGTGAGAGAAAGAGATAGTTGATATTTCTTTCTCTTTCTCTCACACACAAAAATCAAAAGTTTCCCAAAAAATGTTTGCCAGTGTGAACCAGGTCTTTCTAATTTATAAACTTTCGATAAGTATACATCATAGCAGGCAATGGTCCAGTAAGCTATAGTGGAGTGGATTTCAGTGAATTCCTCAAATATGTCGAAAATAAGCTATTAATATTCTATTATAAAAAATCACCCTTTTTAATATAAATACTCATAACTGGTGTAGGGTATCATATATTCGGTCATGTCCGACTATTCTCTCTTGTTTAGTTTTTTCTTTTTTTGTGTTCTTTCATTTTTTTTCAGCGAATTTGAAGAACAAAACAAAAATTCAAGTAAAGAATGTATTTTCTAGCGAATTTTAAACGGATTTATAATACTCTTCCCTGTATTCCCCATACATTTCAGGTAATTATAACTTATTTCCAGTTTTTACATAAAATATGAAACAAATTTGTTGTAGAGTAAACCCTTAGCTACAACTGCCGGCCTCAACGCCATGAAGTATCTTAATCAAACGGAAGCTATTAATGTGGACCAGGAACTCTTTAATGAGTATAAATTCAGTGTTGATCAACTAATGGAATTGGCCGGCTTGAGTTGTGCTCATGCCATTGCCAAATGTTTTGATGCCACAAAACATAAGCGAGTCTTAGTTTGTTGTGGTCCCGGCAATAATGGCGGTGATGGTTTGGTATGTGCACGCCATTTAACCCTCATGGGTTATACGCCTTATATTTATTATCCGAAACCTACACCAAATCCTTTGTATGAAAATTTAACACATCAATGTAAAGGTATGAACATTGATTTCCTAACAAACTGTCCGGAGGAAGGAGAAGTAGCCAAATCCTTTGACCTAATAGTTGATGCATTATTTGGCTTCAGTTTCAAGCCGCCGGTGAGAGAGACATTTGTGCCAATTGTTAAGGTGTTGCAGAAAACTCAAGTTCCCATTGCCAGGTGGATTTTTAATAAACATTTTTATATAAAATATTTTCACGTAATAATTTAAAAATTCTCTTTTTAGCATTGATATACCCAGTGGTTGGCATGTGGAGAATGGCAAGAATGAGCCAAATGATTTTGAACCCACCTTACTAATATCTTTGACAGCTCCCAAAATGTGTGCTCAACACTTTAAGGGAGCCTATCATTATTTGGGTGGCAGATTTGTACCACCTGGTCTTAAAGCCAAATATAATCTTGACTTACCCGAGTACCCAGGTACCGAAACTTGTGTTAAATTATAGTTATTTGAGGGATCAAATATATTATAAAAATTTCATTTATTTATTAATTAAAATATGTACACGGATACATTTAATGTTAATGTAATTCATTAAAAGAAAACTATATATTTTTTGCAAACAAGAAAGTTATAAAATTATTTATACAAACGATTGTAGTTTTTACGACGTCTGTCTTCCTCAAAAGTATTATTGCGAGCCCATTCCTTCAAATGACCCTTGGACCGTAACATGGCCGATTTGGAGTCCACATCACGCATAGCAAACGGTGAGAAACCAGCAATATAATCTTCATTTAAAGCATTCGTCTTAGTTTTAGCCACACGTGAAGGCATTTGACGGGGCATAGGTTGATCTTCAAATAAAATGGGATTACGAGAATGTTTACCACCCTTAAAACGTGGCAGACTTTGATTCTTGTATTTGGTAGATAAGGGACGTCTGGTATTAATATGTATCACTTGTTTGCCATTCTCATCTAAACTAACGGCTACGCGCTTGAGTGTTTTGTTACCGCAATTCGGGCAAAATACTTTGGTCATTATAGAAGTGGTCTTGAAACAGGCATAACATCTTAAGATATATGTACGCAAGTGTTTAATTATACGTCCATTGAGGGCAGCAATATGAAGATTCATTTGTTTTAAAGTATTTTGTACAGCAAAATCTGTAGACATGCAGGCAACTTCAGGTATGAAATCTGCTTCGATTTTGCCTTCCATAGATTTTTTAACCTTTTTCAAATTCGAAGGTGTTATCCAGCCACCATCATCCTGGTCATCGTCACCATTACCTGCTTCTGTTTTCTCTACATCTTGTCTTTCATCACAGTCGGCAGATGCTGTGGAATCTGAGTCCTCATTATCTTGTTGTTGTTGAGGCACTAAAAGTTCACAAGTTTTATCATCTTCAGCAGCTTCACATTTTAATTTTTCAAATAATTCTTCCAATTCCTCCTGCGTTACCTCGGGCACATCATGTTTATCATCGGGATTGTCAAGTTGTTTTTCAATTGAAGCTTTTACCGTATCAATTTCAGTATCCTTTTCTTCTAAGTCTTTATCATCTTCCTGCTCCCCTTCCTCGTAGTCTTCTTCATCATCTTCAGATTCATCCGAGTCCATATGACCCTTGTTATACCATCCCGGCAATTTTGTATTATCTTGGAATTCTTCAGGTTTTTCCTTGGAGGCTACAATCTTTCCCACCACCGGTTCAGTTCTAAGATGAGCAGTACCCACTGTATCTGCTTCCAATTCGTAAGTCAGGGCAATAACTTTAATATCAATACCCGATAGTGAAGCATAATCACCAGTCTTTTTGGAAAACTCCACACAGTGTTTAATACTTTCAGCACGAGGTTCTCTAACTTGCAAATCATAGGGTAAAACACATAAACGTCTGATCTGCCTTCTATGACGAACTTCTTCAATTACATCGGGTACGGTTAAAACATTTTCACAATAATCCTATAAAGAGCACTTCATTTTAGGAAAGTTCACGGAATTTTTGTCAAATTTAAAGAAAACTTACATTTAATTGTACGGCATTGATAAAGGCAGTAGTATCGGCCACTAAATATTTTATTTTCTTTTTATCTTCCGTCATTTTTTGATAATTTTCTTTAATTTTTTAAAAATTTAATAGAATACAAATTCTAATAATGCACGTGTTGTTTTTCTTTTAGTAACTAAACTAATAAAGTTGCCAAGTTTAAAGTTCACACGAAAAAGTAGGGAAGTGCATTTATGAAATGTGGAAAACAATAGCTGCATTTAAAAAAATTATATATTTTTTTGCTAAATATCATTATATTTCTATAATTATTGTTGACTTTTGAAAAAACCTTGAAACAAATAGTAAATAACACATATTTATTAAAATTTTTAATGATTTTCATAAAAAATGCATCTAACTCTGGCAGCTCTTTTCAATAGGGTTACCAACTTTTCCATACATTTATTGTTGATAACAAAACAACAACAAAACCAGACAAACACAAAACAAACTGTCAAAATACAACGACGAATAATGAGCATAAAAGAGAAAATAGAACAATAAAAAGCCATAAAGTAACAAAAACAATAGAAATTTTCGATTTTAATTAAAAATTCAATAACATTTTAAGAAAATATTTGTTTCTAACACTTTCAGCTATATTATTAAAATAAAATACATATATTACAATAAAATTACTAAGTAAAGGTCATACGATTTGTGTACACTAAAGAAAAAAAAAAAAACAACAAAACGAAAATATTTTTGGAACTAGCAGAAGAAAAAAATTAGTGGTTGTTTTTCTTGTGTCTGGCCATAGAAAAAAACAATATAAATAAAAACTACGCAAAAACAAGTGGAAAATAATAAAAAATTCAATAATCCCCAGTTACTAGCAACACGAACACACAAATTTAATTAAACTTTTTAAATTTTCAAAATAAAAATAAACCCAGTGTTTGTTTACTAGTAAAAAGCCAGTGAAACAGACCACCAACCAACCAGCCAGCCACCCAGTGCAGCCACTTGTTCAAGAATATGGTGGAACCAATTTTTGATTATCAATTTCGTTTGATACTGATTGGAGACAGTACTGTGGGCAAAAGTTCTTTGCTCAAATTCTTTACAGATGGAAAATTCGCTGAGGTATGTACATATGTGGGTGATTTTGAATTTATAGATTTTAAACAAGTGGAGATTTTACTAATTAACTAAAATCTTTAATTATGTAATAAATAAAATTTGCATGTTCTATTTCTTGTTTGTGATATTAAGTCTACGGATGCTGTAAATTTGATTCAATTATTATTTATTTGTTGATAACAATAGTGTCTGTCTGTTGCAGTTTAGTTTGTATTGAAATTTTGTATTATTCATACAATTTTCTATTCATCTTTGTTTACGTTGTTGATTTTTCCTTTGAGTCATTTATTTTCATTTATTACTACTTTACATTAAAGGCATTTTTAAAGTTAATGGAGAAATTGAAGTGTGGGAGCAAATAAGGGATGAAGAAGTATGAAAATGTTGTCGGTTATGTTCGACTATGTGATACCTTATAGCGTTACTGGACTATAGGCGTCTAGACTATACACTAGAATATAGAATGAACTATTGATTACATTACAAACTAGCCTAGTCTTGTCTATAGTCTAGACTATGAGCCTAAAATTAGGTTTCTCTCTTTTACATATTTCTGTTTTAAAATGATAAGCACAAACAGATTTATTTTTTTTTTTATTCTATTTACAGCTGTCTGATCCCACTGTGGGTGTTGATTTTTTCGCCCGTTTAATTGAAATGAAAGATGGCACACAAATTAAACTTCAGCTCTGGGACACGGCTGGCCAGGAACGTTTTCGTTCGATAACCAAATCCTACTATCGCAATTCTGTTGGCGTTTTACTCGTCTACGATATCTCGAATCATGCCAGTTTTGAACATATACCTTTATGGATGATGGAGGCCCAGCGTCATATTGAACCACATCGTCCCGTTTTTGCATTAGTAGGCTGTAAATTAGATCTGGTCAATGCTGGCGGGCAGCGCGAAGTAACATTCGAAGAAGCTCAATCATTTGCCAAACAACATGGTTTGCATTTCGTTGAAACCTCTGCACGTACAGGTTTGAATGTGGAGGAAGCATTTCGTACGGTTACACAAGAAGTTTATGCCCGCATACGTTCTGGTGAATACAAGGTGGAAGATGGCTGGGATGGCATTAAGACCGGTTTTCCACGACCCAATAGTCTGGACTTTAATTTGGTTGTGGCTGAGCCGGAGAAATCTTCATGTTGTTGATTCGTTAATTGTTTGGACTTTTATAATTTTTAACTACATTACTTACTAACAATTTATATACACTATTATTATAAGATTTAGTTTTTTTGTTCGTAACAAAATTTTTGGTTTAATTTGTTTTGATACGTTTACAAATACGTAAAACATCGTAAAAAGGCTTAAGTGTTTATTTTATTAATTTTACTTTTTGTAATTTGTATTTACAAAATTAATATTTTTATTTGAAATTAGTTCCCCTAATTTTGTATTAGTTGTTGTTTTATTTTATATTGTAGTCAAAAAGAATCATAATTGAGTATAAATTTTAAATATAGTTTTCACCGTTTTTATTCAGTTACTGATACAAATAAAAAGTACATTATGTTTTATATTAAATGAAAAATACCAATGATTATATTATGAAAATCGTTTTTTAAAAAATACAATATACATTAAAAACAAATAATTAAAATTTTAAATTAGCTCATGGTTGTTTTTATTAAGACTTATGAAAAACAAATACTTATTTATAATTTATGAAGTAACAATCGATTTAGAATTATTTTGGTGTCAATAATAATATAACAAACTTTTTATATATTTCAATGTTTTTTCAAGTCTTTCTAATTTTCAGAAATATTTTCGAAATTGCAAACTTATTCAAAAATAAAAAAAAAATAATTTATTCAAACAAATTTCGAAATTCTAGAAAAAAATTATATTGAAAAATATTGTTTTTATAAAAATTTTCCAAGCTTTTTGATTTTCGAACATAGAATTTTTATAATTAAGAAAAATAAATTTTTAAAATCATTTCTTAAAACAAATATCTAAAATTTATTTTTATTATAAAATATATATATTTTTTTCAAATTCATTTTTCAAAGCTAATATCACAAATATATTTTTATTATAAAACAATAAAATTATCTCTATTTTAAGATTTTTTCAAAAACTTCAAAAAATTGTTGCATTTCTGGGTGTACAATATACGTACAATAAAAATTGTTTTATTTTAAAAATATTTTCCCGATTTTGTATTTTCAAACAAAAAAATTTGAATTGGAAAATAATCCAAATTTTAAAATTAATTTTTAAAACAAATATGAAAATAAATAAATACATAAAAGGTTTTTATTTATTTTTCCAAAGTCTTTAATTTTTTTATTCCAATTTAATAAAACAAACAAAAAATTGTGTTTTTTGTGACAACAGCAACACTTATATTAAATACTGCAATTAAAATGCAACTCTGTTAAAAATGACATCAAAAAATGAACTTCAAAACATCTCTGTGTTTATCGAAACGAAAAAAAGACATTTGTGCAAAAAATCTGTAAAGTGAAGAAGAAAAAAAGAGAAATTCTTTTACAGTTCGCATAAAAATTACTTGGTTTAACATATTTTAATTTAAAAAAATGTTAAAAATATTACAAATGCTAACATTAACTAATTAAAAACAAAATAATACTGAATTTAAAACGCTAGAAAAATAAAAAACAAAATTCTACAATCTAACAAATTCTATGCAAAGTCAAAGAAGTGAAGGTGCATTAAGTGCAGAAAAGAAAAAAAATCAATTCATGAACCCAAAGACTTGTCGACATCATCAAAGCTGGTTTGTGTTTAAACGCTTTCAGATTATTTCTACTTCGTGTGTTGTTAAAATTTCAATGAAAACCTAAAAAAAAGAGGAACAAAGAAAAAAGTGTATAAATATTTAAACAAGTGGAAAACCACTTTCAAAAAAAAATTAAAATTGTTATCCATATACAAAATAATCTCCAGTGTAAAAGCCAGAAAAATTCGGAAAAGCAAGCAAAATGGCTCTTAAAAAAGTTAAAGGGAATTTTGAGCGTATGTTTGATAAAAATCTAACAGATTTAGTACGTGGTATACGCAATAATAAGGATAATGAGGTAAGTTCTAAAGGAATGAAATAGATAATTAAAAAAATGTTGTTAATATAAACAGACTAATTAAATTTTTTCGTAACCAGAACCCCCCGAAGGCTTTGTTTATCTTAATATTTTTTCGTACATACATATACTATTTGGTAGTTAGTTGTATGTATATTAGGGTGGTTCTCAAAAGAAAATACATAGGTACATAGTTGAGAAAATGAAAAGTTTAATTCATTGTAAGATAACGTTTTCTACTTTTGTTCTGGCGTCTTTTTTAATGTGTCACCTTAATTCCGATGTATTTAAGCAATTTATTAATGAAAGACTGATTTTCTAAGGCAGACTTTATATTTACAATTATATATAACTTAGATGAACCGAACTTTGAAGAGATAATAACAAATTTGACATATTTATGAGCTAAAATGTCCCGAACCGGAAGAACAGGTTGTATTGGGCTAGGTAAAATAATGGACCATTTTCAATAGGCTTCATCCTTAGGCCGAAAAACAGAATTTCATCAAAATATCTTAAAAAATGAAATAATTTGAAAAATTTTCCAAATTTTATCGATTTTTCTTAAAATTTTGAGATTAAATTGTCGGTAGCTTACAGCCGCGCTTTGCATTGTCACTATCCATACAGCCCTCGGCACTGCTACCTCTCACCTTGACCTTAAAAGTGCTTATATAACACTCTGACTACCGGTAAAGCTCTTACTACACAAAGATCGATTTTGATAGAGGGAAGAGGGAAAGAAAGGCACATACAATACTCACTATTTTGACAGGTTTTAGTTATACATACTCACCTTTAAAACCATGACTTCCAGCGAACAAAAACCAAAGTATTAGTTACAGTAAATAATGATTATGATGTGTACTTGAGCCCTCCCATCACCACAAGTTACTCTTGAAAGTGTTTAACTCAATTTCAAAATTCTAGAAACCTTCAATTATTTTTGGGCTTTAAAGTTTAAATTTTCTTTTTTGAAGTCGACCCTAATATACCTAGTCAGCCAGAGAAGGGTACTTTACAATTTATTGATGGCGTTGTTGTTTTAATTTTCTTACACCCCCTCATTTAAAGTCTAGGTTTTATTTTTTGTGTGTTTTTCTTCTTCATGTAAACAGATGTTCTATTACTCATATATTTTTCTGCTGCACCTCCTTTTTAGATTCCGGTATTTAGTCGTTTATAGTATCTTTTAGTAACTTGTTTATAATAATGTAGTACCTACTTTTATTGCTAAATGTTTAAGCATTTATGCTGCCTTTTTGCTTATCATAAATTTCCACTTGGTTTAACTCGGAATCTTTTTTTAGGTTTTTATGCTTTCTTTTTCAGTTGTGTGCTGTGCTTAATCTGGTTCCTTTGTGTTTGTTTTGTCATTTAGATAATTCACCTCATTTAAATATTTCTTCTTATCATTTACACTAGTATTTTTTTAATTGAACAAAATGCAAAGACATATTTATACCCACATTAAGATTAAGGCTCTTAAATGGTTTTTAAATAGGTGAAGTGTCAGTTTTGTTCAACATTTTTTAATCAAATTATATATAATTATGTATAAAATTTAGCTTTATTTCGCGTTATATTACTCAGGGGAAACTAATTAAAAATCAAGTGCAATAATAGTTTGTGCTGACATCAGAAAACTTTATGTTATAGTTGGGAAAGGATTTTCTTAATGTTTAATTAAACTCTTTCACTGTCACACAAGATGGAGTATATTTTTCTATAAAGTTGGGTTGTTAAAGAAAATTAAAATTTTTACCATATTTTCTTTAGTATTTTAAGGGAAATTAAAAAAAAAAATAGGTATATTATTGAATTTTGAAATTGAATAGAACTGAACTAGAACTGAACTAGAACTGAACTAGAACTGAACTAGAACTGAACTAGAACTGAACTAGATCTGAACTAGATCTGAACTAGAACTGAACTAGATCTGAACTAGAACTGAACTAGAACTGAACTAGAACTGAACTAGAACTGAACTAGAACTGAACTAGAACTGAACTAGAACTAAACTAGAACTGACTAACTGAACTAGAACTGAACTAGAACTGAACTAGAACTGAACTAGAACTGAACTAGAACTGAACTAGAACTGAACTAGAACTGAACTAGAACTGAACTAGAACTGAACTAGAACTGAACTAGAACTGAACTAGAACTCAACTAGAACTGAACTAGAACTGAACTAGAACTCAACTAGAACTGAACTAGATCTGAACTAGAACTCAACTAGAACTGAACTCGAACTGAACTAGAACTGAACTAGAACTGAACTAGAACTGAACTAGAACTAGAACTGAACTAGAACTGAACTAGAACTGAACTAGAACTGAACTAGAACTGAACTAGAACTGAACTAGAAGAACTGAACTAGAACTGAACTAGAACTGAACTAGAACTGAACTAGAACTGAACTAGAACTGAACTAGAACTGAACTAGAACTGAACTAGAACTGAACTAGAACTGAACTAGAACTGAACTAGAACTGAACTAGAACTGAACTAGAACTGAACTAGAACTGAACTAGAACTGAACTAGAACTGAACTAGAACTGAACTAGAACTGAACTAAAACTGAACTAAAAATGAACTAGAACTGAACTAGAACTGAACTAGAACTGAACTAGAACTGAACTAGAACTGAACTAGAACTGAACTAGAACTGAACTAGAACTGAACTAGAACTGAACTAGAACTGAACTAGAACTGAACTAGAACTGAACTAGAACTGAACTAGAACTGAACTAGAACTGAACTAGAACTGAACTAGAACTGAACTAGAACTGAACTAGAACTGAACTAGAACTGAACTAGAACTGAACTAGAACTGAACTAGAACTGAACTAGAACTGAACTAGAACTGAACTAGAACTGAACTAGAACTGAACTAGAACTGAACTAGAACTGAACTAGAACTGAACTAGAACTGAACTAGAACTGAACTAGAACTGAACTAGAACTGAACTAGAACTGAACTAGAACTGAACTAGAACTGAACTAGAACTGAACTAGAACTGAACTAGAACTGAACTAGAACTGAACTAGAACTGAACTAGAACTGAACTAGAACTGAACTAGAACTGAACTAGAACTGAACTAGAACTGAACTAGAACTGAACTAGAACTGAACTAGAACTGAACTAGAACTGAACTAGAACTGAACTAGAACTGAACTAGAACTGAACTAGAACTGAACTAGAACTGAACTAGAACTGAACTAGAACTGAACTAGAACTGAACTAGAACTGAACTAGAACTGAACTAGAACTGAACTAGAACTGAACTAGAACTGAACTAGAACTGAACTAGAACTGAACTAGAACTGAACTAGAACTGAACTAGAACTGAACTAGAACTGAACTAGAACTGAACTAGAACTGAACTAGAACTGAACTAGAACTGAACTAGAACTGAACTAGAACTGAACTAGAACTGAACTAGAACTG